CCCGATTATGACGAGCACATCTGGCATCATGCGTAATCCAGCAGGATTGCAAAATATGCACCAAACTCTCCGGTTGGCCACAGTTTCCACGACATAAGATCGTCTGGCCACCATGACCATGCCGAGCGCTTCTAACTCTCGTCCTAAGCGGGTTGCATCGGAGCTTGATACCGCGGATCAATATCCGTGGAAACACTCGTTCTGGGACTACGAGCCATCGATTCGGGAGAGGCGAAGTGACCAACTCTCGTAAACCACATACTTACTCATGCGGCTGGCGCTGGCAGCAGCTCACCTAATTCCTTCCGTATATTGTAGGGATTTCCTAGTCTCATCGGTATTGTTATATTTTGTCAATACGTTTAGTTCCATTACAGTCATTTTCCCGCCAGACCTAAATTAAAAATCACCATTTATTTCGGATCTCATGCACGAAACCTTTTAGTCCTCAACTAGAGTTCGGACCATGTGAGACGAATTCGTAGCCTGAAGTGGTTTATTGACAATTCGGCGTTTTGAACTCAAACGGCACACTTCAGAATGTGCACCTTCATTTGTAAACCAAAAGCAAACAATTTAGCTCACTGAAAATATCCATAAATTTTTTTTCTAGTGCTTCGAATCCGGCAGTATCCATGATTGAAAAGTGTACCATACCCATATCAACTTAATTCATTCATGCAAGCACAAAACTGTTAACATAAGTGTCTTCTCTTGTATATCTTATTGATTTGTGTGCTGTTTTCCCATCAGCTAGCACAACCGGCTTCAGGATTTTCCACCGTGTTTTGAGTATGGATAATATTTTTTGCACTTGGATATGATTCTTAAAATTTGGGAAGAAATGCATCAGTGTCCAATAACAACGCTCCGCTACCTGTAATGATGACGCTTTTAGATCAACACTGGCTAGTTGCAAACTTAAAAGCATCCCACAGACCATCCCATAATGACTAATGTTAAGAGATGTCACCAAAATCCTTGCTATTAGTTTCAATAACATGATGAATTGATAAACCCAACTGTTATTAAAACTCAACAGTGATGTAACCAATACAGCAGGCTCTTTATAGAAGAAGCTACATCAGTAAGTCCGTTCTTTTGGTACATCCACCCGTCCACCTGTTTTATGTAATTTTTTGTTTAACCATGTTCCAGGTGGTGTTGGTCATGTTCAACCCATTTCTGTAATCTTGGAGTATTTTGTTTCTTTTTTATCAGAACGGAACCGGACAGACCTCCAAACTAAAGCCAGCTTTGGAGATAGTTCAGAACAAGCATTTCCAGACACACATTCTTAGCAATTTACTATCTTTAGGGAGGCCGATACCTCTTGTATCATCATCTTGCCCTTAAATTATTTTGAATAAAAAATGGCGGAGCCAAACACAAGTGATGCGAGAAGACATGCATGCTTCAGGGATCATATGGCATTCATGAACATCGGTGCACGGGTTAACGCTTACACAAGCCTAGATCATTTCGAATACCCTTCAGTGAGGATAATCTTACTGACCAGGCATATCATTCTGGAAACTAAAACAAAGAAATCGAGCTGGGACGACGCTGTAATTTTAAAGTTTACCTCATCGCGATGTTAATCGACCTTTCTTAGCTTCATTCATCATATGGCATTTGTTCACTGTATTATGTCCCTAAGTATGTTAAGCTGTGTGACAAAACAGTGTAAGCAAGAGAGGCTCCAAGTTAAAATAGTTCCTAGTGCATTGTCAGTTTGTTACTTTTTGACCAAATGCTACGTGGGGCACTATCTTTGAATGGAAATGCAATCCACTGGTAAAGCAGACAATAGTGGTCAGCTAAACCGCTTGATTTTTTATCGCAACAACGCTTTTTATAAGACAAAACTGGTAGTCAATGAAGGCTTTGCTGTGACACAGAAAGCAAACAGGCGGGGCAATAAAAATAAACCATGGTTAGACTGCTCATCCAGAAAAGAACACATTTTTCTCACAGCTACGAACGTAAATTTATGCAACAACAGAGTGAGAGGGACATAGCTGTTAGATGAATGGCTTTGTGCACTTTCGCCCGTCGTGAACTACAGCTAAGTTAGTGAGATAACAATCCGAGTCTTCAAAACGTTTCCCAAACGGGTCAAACGATGTGACCAGGGTGCAACTAGTCTTTTCGAACTCACAGCACTAGCTTCAGTTGACTGACCAATATGCCTGGAGAAATTATGGTTCCCTTGACCGATCGCAAGTTTTCATGATGCTGGAAGATGACTGAATAGTAAGTATTACTGCACTTGACTGTGGTGAAATGCTTCGTACTCGACGAAATCAAAAATTTGTCCGCTGAAAACTTGTTAACATCCTCATCAAGAAATATGGCAAGAAGTTGATTGGGATAAAGTTCCTCGGTCTGAGTTTCAAACATTCTGTCAGCTCTACTAATAAAATGACAGGTGAATGAAACTTACTTTGACATTTTGGTTAGAGGTAGTTAGGCTGACTTCTTGTTCAGTTTCATGTTGAGTTGCACGGCACAACACGCTATACGGTCGCCTTCAACGCAATTAATGTATCATCACCGGCAAAAAATATAATACAAGCAGGACTATCTAATGGCAGCATTTTTCATACGTAGCACCCATTCGGTGCTCGGCTGACATGCCACCAGAAGGAAGCACGAGAGACATTTTGGTTAGAGGTTTTAGGCTGACTTCTCGTGCAGTTTCATATTGAGTTGCACGGCACAGCACGCTGTACGTTCTCCTTCAACGCAATTAATGTATCACCACCAGCAAAAAATATAATACAAGCAGGCCTATCTAATGGCAGCATTTTTCATATGTAGCACCCATTCGGTGCGCAACTGACATGCCACCAGAAGGAAGCACGAGAGCTGGAATACTACCAGGTTGCCCGAGCCTAGACAGGGGATTCAAGAGGTAGTGATCCAGCTCGAACCACGGAACTTCTGGTCAGTAAATTCGCGATCTAACCACTGAGCCATCTTGCCCCTGATGGCAACATACACTGCTTCATATCATCATGCGCTTCTTAACGTGCATACAGATAATTATTTGACCGTAATGCCCTTTTGAGCATTGAGTCACCCCATTAACTGTAGCCGTCATGCATGCTATTTTGGTCCTGTGAAAAGAAGTGTACAAATAAAATTTTAAGGTAAAGTTGGTGGACACCGGTATATTATTGGTATTATCCCATCCAGGTAGTTTCACTTTACACAGAACTGATACTGAAACGCATGGGATTCTTTGGATTGAGCAGTATAGAAGTTGACTTCGAATTTGGTGGATGTTATTCAAATCGGAAAGTAGCTTCTCAACCTATTCCTAGTTTTGCACTGAATAAACTGTGATTCGAATGTTTTTGAATTGACTCCCACTTCCTCCATTTAGTTTAGTGAAGGCAAAAGTTGACTTGAAGAAATTTTCCATGGCTGGTCCATCACTTTGTTAGCATCTGTTAAGTTACAAGAAGAGATTAACGTTTTTCATTGCATTATGAATAACTGCCTTCAGGTGGAATAAAAACTTGCGATCTCAGGCAGCGGTACGTTTGTAAACAAAAACTCCATATCGAAAGAGCAAATGGTCGAATAAGAAGCGTTGGTAACCTCTGGTCGCGTTGAACGTTTCCGGGTACTTTTCAAACAATCCATTTAGTTAGGGAATGTTGTGATGGGGCGGTCGTAACCAGAATAAGGGCGATTGGGTACACTGGATTAATGAGTCTTGTGTAACTTTAGAGTGTGATGTCCGATAGGTTTGAGGTTGTTAAACTCAGCACGTAATATAAAATCAGCAAACAAAGCAATATGCAATTGACGATTGATATGGTTGTCCACTAATGATAAAGTAGAAATGAAATGACTGAGCATCAGTTTAAGCATGTTGGTTCTATGAGAAATGTTGAGTGATTCGCCAAGTAGTTTTCCGAAACCACTTAATGCATGTCTTAAAAGTGATTTTTAATGCTTAGCAACTCGGTACATAAATGGTAGATTTGTGAGGCCATCCCAAGTGGGGTCTTGTTGTCTGCCCCGAATGATCGCTGTTTGTATTCAACTACTGTAGACACATTTAACATGTATTTTGTTGCACTACATTGCGCATCAATATGCCACAAGTAAATTATGAATATCCAGGCAACGGTCTTGTAAGGCTGGAGTTCCACCAAGTAGTACATTGTAGTGGGAGTGGACAACTGCAAAGCTGCAAAGCCGATGTTGCCGAAAGCATTTTAATTGACATGGTCTGTTATTCAGATCGGAAAAAATGGTGTGAATAGAGCAAAGCAAGCAATAGAAACATTACCTCAGGAATGAGACTGACGTAGTAGGACGGTAAAGATGCAAGGACTGTTCTTTCAGAAATCGTATACAATCCCTTAATGCGTGGTACGATGATAAACATCAACTAATGTGTTGCTTGACTATACGGTGATTTTTTGTATATGTCAAAATCGTAAGCACACCTGTTCAGCACACTTCTCGGTGCAAGTTCATCCCATTTATCTTGCGTGATTTTTAACCTAAGAAACACGCAATTTTAGCCAGATAGCCTTCAAATACAAAGAAACATCGACTTGATTATTTTGAAGTTACCATAGTAAGAATCAGCAACCTGATGTTTGAGATCCACATCAAAAGATCGTTTGCCTAAATTTTACGAAAACTTCTGAAGTATTTATTATGCAAAAAGACTTAAAATTAAACTGTCTCATTTTAGCATTCTTTTGGGCAGTAACACATGTTACTGTCCGCTTGACCGGGAGTAAGGTGGAAATATCTGGGACCAAATTCAGCAAAACATGAACCATAAATCAAGCAAGTGGGAAAAACATCTTTTGATACAGCCCAAAGTTTTCCGTGAAAAAAAGCACTGTTTACTTAAACGAATCACGAGCTACAAAAGGAGCATTGAAATTATTTGCATTGAAACTAACTTAACATAATAAGCAAGAAATAACTCAGTGTACAAATAAGCGAAGAAAAAATATACTTACCACACCAAGTATCGGCAAACTTGAGTCACGAATATGTGGTGTGTATCCGTCGGAATCTGACCATGTTAGTGGGTTTCGATCCGAAATATACGAAGTCTGCAGAGCATTCACTTCATCGGAAGTTTTGACCACAGACCCCTTACTTTCGTTGACGTTGTTGAACGGAAGTGGCACTTCCGTATGTAATGCATCCATGCTTACGCGCTTTAGTTTTCCAAACCAGAATCTTTGCAGAAACCTGTATGTCTGACAACATCGAGCCAAAATGATGACTGCATCTAACAGCAGTAACAATAGTCGAACTTGAGTGAGGCTCAGAAAGTAGTTGCTTGACGAATAAGCTCCTGACTTTGTTGCAACATTCAGTCTCAGTTGGCCTTGTGCATGCTGAATATGTCTGATCAGGGGGAAATGGTAGTCAATAAATTTGGGTCTATAAGGTTCGCGTCGACTTAAATACATCTACTACAAAATATATATTATCCGATAGTAAGCAAATATACGTTATAGTTTTTGTGTTCAGTGGGGGACATCGAGTTCTTAACAGAGTAATCACTGAGCCAGTGGGAAACTGGTTAACTAAAACCAAATAATCTAAGCCAACAAAGAGCAGAGTTAACTTTGAATGCAGAGTATGTTAATAATAGTTGTTTCCTCGTGGTAGTTTATTGTTTAATTGACAACCCAACTTTGGAAACCAACATTTCAAATAGCCTACGTTACATAACCTTTAAGTCACCTAACAAAGGAAAAATAAGGACATCTTTCCTAAAATTAACGTAGAAAATATGCCACCTTGTTGTGGAGAATCCCTCATAATAGAACTATTCACAGAGTTGCTGAAAACTTTTCTACCTTGCGAGGAGTTTCCTTTATGAAAATATACCTCGATACCTTGAATAGTTTCTTAACTGAAACATGAGATGACCTTTGTGCAGCACGTTCAATTGAAGAATTTCATGAACGAGAGATTCGAGTCTCGTGCGAAAACCAAATTGATGTGCAAGTGAGTGTATTTGTCGAAAAATTCCTCATGTTTAAAGATAAGCTTCTGGATGATGCAATTTCTATGTAACAAATTAAGGTAAAATTCACCAGCTTAGTCTATTACAGTGGAGATAATTTATTATCCTGCTAGCAACTTTTTTTTTAATGACAACTACCAAAAGTTAGTTGCAACTATGATATTGAATGAATCAATACATCATTTTTACAGGAGGGAAGATCTTCCGGCAAATTTGTGCAGGTATGAGATTACGCATGGAATTTTGTGGTTGCGTGATAATGAAGCTTCAGTGGCCCTCTTGGGTATCGTAGACTATGATCAGGATATTGAACTCATTTGGTGTATTCTCATGTCTTTTTCTCAGTGTTACTTCTGTCCATGTTCTGTCCGCCCCATTTCAAATGAGGAATAAGGTAAACGATTACTTAAGGCAGATGACTATTTATTATATCTGTGTTGCAGGATACTGGTAGTCCACTGATAGTTGGTATCTAGTGCAGCTTTATATATGGGTAGCAAACTTTTATCATTAGTTGAGTGGACATATCGGTAGTAAGCCCATTACTGCACGATATCAGTATTTTGACTTTTGGAAAGAGTATTTAATGCCAGTCCTCGTTGAACCGGTCTCAATCGGTTATTGGGTTTACACAAACCAGGATAACCCCGTCTTACTTAAATGTTCAAGCACCCTCATCATTGATAAAGGCATGCTACTAGCTAAGAAAATAATGGTGGAGATAGCTTTGATTTTGCTGTTTCACAAGGATGCTAGACATCCGCGAAATATTTATTCCGAAGCTGAGCTTCGTGGATTCATTAGGAACCATTGGTGAAGGGCTAGTTAAGGGAGCACTTCCGATAAATTAACCAACTAAACATGAGTCACATGCTTTCCAGGACATGCTTCAATTATTTGCTTTAGTCGGCAAGACACTACATTCATTTCTATAGAGAAAACGTATTCTGTGGCACACGAGACTTCTGACACATAAAGTGAAATGAGATTTTGAAAGATACCCTCATCTGTAAATCAAAATGGTTTTTGCGGGAGAATCAAGTGAATATCTCGTTTATGATGTTGTGTTCCTGAACAAAGTTGGTGGATGCCTTAAAAGCAATTTAGCAAAACGTTAGTCAAACCATCATCGGAACGCTTATATGCAATGCAGCGAAGAGGTTAGCAATATATTTGAAACAAAATGGTCAGTGAAAACATGCGCAATTGATGTGCAAGTGCATTTACCAAATTCCGTACAATCCAGCTAGAACGTAAGGTTTACGGAAACTCGGGGACTGAGCCTATCTGATGAGCCTCAAGAAGGACGAAACCGGTCGTGGGCTGTAGAAGAGTTTTTAGCAACCATGTTACTGAGTTCCTTTATGAAATGACATTTCTTCGAAGATTTCCCTATTCTGGCACACTACTGTACATCCAACGGTAAGTCTGCTTTTGGGTATATTTAATTTCTAATCATACAGCTGAACGACACCTGCCATTCGGCTGGAGACCAGTCAGTTAGGGATGCATATTTTTAAGGGTGCTTGTTACTGGAATCATGCACTCTAATCGTCTCTGTCTACCAAAATACTTCAGAAGAAATAAACCTACGTGATGTGCGAGACAGTAATATGGTTGCTTAGACACTGATTGCTACTTGCATTGTTTTGCTTCGAGGATCTTGCATTGCGTGCTTAAATGAACATCCAGATCAACGTCAGGTCACCGTGCTTTTGAATGTATTTTATACAAACACGAATGCACTTTTGTCAAAACGGAACTCTTCACACTTTCCCGCTATTTTGAAGTTTGAACATTTTCTTCAGCAGACAATCGAATGTAAATTCATCCTTCTCAGGGGAAGCCATTAATCAGAGAGACTGCCCGGTACTCTAGAAGCGAACTTAATTCAGTCATTTGTACTGCATTTTTGGAAATTGCAGTTTGGGAAGAATGGGTGAAAGTGATTTTGTGTGGGACGAAACTGGAACTGCACGCCGTTCGACGATCAGCCAATAACCTCACGATAGACCACAATTATGTTGCATGCAAGAAATGCTAAACAACTGCACAACTGTAAAAATTACATAAAGGTTTCGCCCGGAGCCAAATCCACTGCTGCATACGAGCCAGTAAGCGCGATATAAAAGAAAATGAACCTCCTCAAGACTGAGCCAAGCGTAGGATTGTTGACACGAATGCAGCAAAATATGCATTGTCACATCGTTGTGAAACGAGCTGGCGCCACCAGTTCATTCGGCTAACCATAACATTATATCCTATCCCATTAGCATACAATCGCAAACAAGTCTTTAAGTCTTTTAACGAACAGTTTGATTGCGTTTAAGCGGCAGAGGTACACCTATAACCCTTTTTGGATTACTTGAGCAATGTAGGACTCACCAGGTTAGTTTAACCCATTTAACTAAATCGTCATTTGTGTGTATGAAGCTGAAATCGTCCACAATCTCAAGTTCATATAGTTTTATGCTACAAGCTGCTTGCTAATAAGAACATATTGTTGCGCTGAAAAGAATGGACTAGAATAGTAACTAAATCCTAAAGTCTTATTCAGATCTATGTTGTACAGAACCTATTTAAGGGGTTGTATACGCCATAATTTATGCTTCTCTGGTAATTTCTCCACACGACAAAAAATGTATACACCATCAACGATGTCCATTTTCATATAATTTGTGTGGGTTAGTAATGACTCTGAATCAGAATTTTTAGTAACTTTCCACCATTCGTGAGCAGTTGGGATGCTTAAAGTTCATGGAAATCCTCATAGGGAATCTGACAAAAATCGAACTTTTCGGCCTGGACGCAAGTATTAAGTGTAGAAAATTTTTTGGAATCCTGGTAAGGATAACACAAACTATGGAGAGTATAGATAGTAGATAGATTATTTACTTTTATTACCTCACCCGAGTTTACTTGTTATGTCGGTGAGATGCACTAAACAAAAAACTAACGGATGAAACTTTCCAGACATCTCATAACTTTTGCACACTACTCGGTTGGTTTTAACGGTGAAATTGAAGTGGGCAAACTGTTCAAATTTTAACCGGAACGTCAACTGACCGATCTATTTGAATCCAACACAACAAAACATACTTTGCTTTGTCTAGTAAAACCGTCGCTATATTTTTCTCAAAGAAAATCGCTGCATAGCAGTTCCATAATATCGGCTGCATTGGATTCCTCAATTATTTTGCACCGTTAAACTGTCACAGGTGTTCAGTCTACTTATTATTTGTCCATTGTGTATGTACGGTTGCGCGAACTTCATCTCAACCGGCTGCAAAAAAAACAGTCCAGATTCGACTGTTCTCGCAAACGAATAACGTGTGGAAACTGATGAACGGCTTTCAGTCATAGTGGCCGAACAACTGATGCAGCCTGTCATTCAACAGTGGTATGAGTGTCTAATGGGGTTTTTGACAAATGACGCTAAACACCCGGTGATATCTGAAAGCCAACTCAAAATTTGCAAAAAATGGTTAGTGGTTCGTACGCCGAGAGAGGCAAGTCGGCGACTGAGCAGCATAACTTATTCACCCATGCCAGGTTGCGCTGAGGGCTGTTGGGCGCTTGTATCCTATACCTTATAAGATGCTATTTAGCAGTTTCGCCCAAAACCGTTTGAGATGTTGGTTGGGTGTATATTTTTCATTGGCTTATGAACTTGCTATTAGATAGGCGAATCACTGATCGTACTTCTCGTCTGAAGCTAGTGCAATTGTGACTACTGCAGCCCTTAAAGGAAGCGAATTTAGTCCAGGCCAGATGCACTAAACTTCAAAAGAATTAAAGTCACTCGATTCAGCATTGCTTAAACTTTGTAGGCGAACACATGCTGAAATTGGTTTGTACACTAATTTGCCATGCACAAACCCTGACCCGAAAATTACAAATATCTCAGTGCAGGTGTTTGCTGTCAACAGCGGCACCACAAGGCAGATGTCCCGATAAGACCAATTGTGGATGGTAAAGGCTTGCCACTACATGAGCTAACCAGATTCTTAGCTGATATACTAAAATAACTCACGGGGAAATTGAGGAATCCGTACGACATTGCCGATAAGGTCCCAGGGCTTCCCTTGGAGATGGACGAAGTTCTCGCGAGCATTTACGTAGTCTGAATGTACACAAACACACCTAGGGCAGATGCTCGGGAGATGACTAAGAGGTTGGTACTGGCAGTCATGACACTCGAGGAGCAGACATATCTCTCGATGGATGAAATATTTGGGGGCATATGAGTGTGTCTGAATCTCGATCAGTTTGTTGTCGACACAATTGTTTACAAGCAAGAGCAAGGTCTTGCGATGGGATCTTCAATATCCCCAGTTTAAGCCAATATTAATAATGGGGACTTTGAACACAT